CTCTCTCTCTCTCTCTCTCTCTCTCTCTCTCTCTCTCTCTCTCTCTCAAAGCTCAGAAATGTTGTCTCACCTTGGGAGTGTTATACAATAACAGGCACATGCAGAACAGTCACTCTGGTGCAGAAAACTGTAGACACAGGGATATTCCAACGAGAACCTCTAAACCAACCCTTCCACATCCAGCAATGGAGCCTTAGCGCCCTCTGCTGTTCTGTAAGCATAATACATGGTATCCTGAGATATTTACAGAAGAGTTGTTGGGTCTCTGGGCAGATGCTGCCATCTCCTGGTTACAGTTACACATAGCGACCCTGCAGGGTCAGACTAGATGCCTAAATGGCCTGGTCCCTGTGTAAACAGGTCCGGAAGGTGTGAAAGCTCAAAGGACAAGCAAGATGGCTGCCACAAGCACTTCCAATGGCCTCAGAGTACTTTCCAGTGTGGTGAGCACCTTTTCCTTAGAGCTGAATGTTCTCTTTAGGAGGTAGACAAAAGGCTCATAAGACTGGATGCTCGGAAACAGCGAGTCACAAAATCCCTCCCCCAGGTTATGGAAGCAATAACATCAGAAAGAGCAAGAAGAGACTCTGTTTGAGAGCTGGCTGCAAGCTGTGCCGCCCCAGGGGGCAGCTTTCATGAGTTGTTGCCCTTGCTGGGGCAAGCTTTTTATTGGTGCAGCTGCCTTAGGTCGCCCCCACTGTTTGAAGGGACCCCGGCAAATGCATAGTTTACCAGGCTAGAACTGGGTGGAATCTTTGGTCTACTGTTCTGTCCATTGGCCATTGTTCTATCCTGGGTGAGGAGATGTTTGCCTACATCTCCTAGGGAAAAAATCACACAACACTGCCACCCACACACCAAACTTACCTTAGCGCATCTTTTTATGGTCTTTGAAACACCTTTCTGAAGGGCTCAGAGGGAACAGTGTTATGGATGATGTCATCATTGCGGAAAGGGTAAGAGAAGCAATTTTACTAAAAGTTTTTTACATTTTTTTACGTTACCTACACATTAAAACATATATAGATAGATAGATAGATAGATAGATAGATAGATAGATAGATAGATAGATATCAGATAGGACAGAAGACCTGAGAGAGAGCCCTCTTGAAACGTGCAGCTTCCAGGAACCCACCCTAACACAGCTCTACACCAGCAAAATCACCAGCCAATCAGGAAGGCTGATGGAAGGCCAGTCATCTGTGGGACTGTCTGGAGAAGAGCCTTTGGTCTTTTAAATGTCACTCACATCGCAAAGCTAAAAAGTCATCAGCACTCTTTGAAAACTGAAATGGAAGCTATAGGGTTTGCTAGACAATCTAGCTGTGCTCCATCTCCTGGATAGTTTTACAGTATGGACAGCAGTAGCCCATTTGGATAAATGTTTCTTAATTTCACTCTGACCCAAAGCAATCATTCAAAGACCTAAAGGTTTATAAAGAATTAAAATTGGGTCAAGGTCATTTCTCTACATTCAGTGGACTGCCATGGAGTAGTACGTTGCAGGGCTTTTGGAGTCAGGTAGGCCTAGTTGGGTTTCCTTGTTCTGTTACTGGCTTTGGATAAAAGATATAATCTCTCTGGAATTTGGTTTGTTCATTTATTAAAGGGGGGTGGCTAGGACTTGTTGGTACCATGACAGGAGATATCAAGATGATCATAAAAAGCTGGTTGCCAGAGGAAGACAGGAATTCCCATGATCACCACTCCTGCACACACTCCCAACTCCGGGCAACATGCAACAAAAGAGAGCATGGCCAGAACAACACACCACCTCTTAATGTTGGTACTCACCTGCATTCTATTGATGCCATTAGGAAACCCACCAACATTAAGGTGAGTCTTCCTGCCTTAAGTAATAGAGCCTATATAACCCTCCACAGACCTGCACTGAGGCTTGTTTCTATGACAGTTTTAGAATCAAGTTCTAAAACTTGATTGTCAAGTCCACAGTCAAAATTAGCCATCATAATGATCTTGGTATCAACTCCCCTGGAAGGGACGGAAGCAGGCCTGAGCAGGGGGCGATGTTTCAATGAAAGCATCAGCCAACCTCTCAGAGAGTTTTGAAGACCTACGACTCTTTAAACGGCTCCCAACTAAGCCAATGCCAGTCCACCTCACATCCAGGGCTCGTTTATATCTGCAAGTCAGTGATCACTGGATGTGGGCTGCTCCAGGAAATGTGCAGGGTTTTAAACCAGCTCACTGGCTCCCTGAGAGAACTTCTGAAGATGGATGACAACAATGGGTATAAGACTGCATTTCAGGGGCTGGAGAAATGGCTCAGTGGTTGGGAGAACTGACTGCTCTTCCAGAGGACCTGGGTTCAATTCCCAGCACCCACATGGCAGCTCACAACTGTCTGAAGATCCAGTTCCAGGGGCCCTGACACCTTCACACCAATGCACATAAAATAAAAGATAAATAAATCATAAAAAAGACTGCATCTCCAAAGTGAAATGGAATGGGATAGAGCAATGTGCACTACCTGCTGGATTTGTGTTTGAAACATGTGTGTGCCTCGGCAAACAGTCTCTGTCGAGTGTCCTTGTTGGGGGTGGCACTTGAATTGGCAATGACTTTTGCTAAATCCTGCAAATTCTCTTCCATGTGAGCTGCTGGTAACTTCAGCTAGAAGCCAGACAAAGGGCACACTCCTGGATGGTGTGTACTCCAGTGGCTTCTGTCTAGATCATAGCCCACTAAGAAATGGAAAGTCGGAGCTGGAAGGGAACAGAGCTTAGATGAGAGCAGAGCAGTTAAGAAGATCAATAGATCGGGGCTTTCATGGGTCCTCAGCTATGAAACTTTAGGGAGTTACAAGTCTTCACAGGCCTCAATGCCTCAGATTCCTCATGGATGAGAATATTGGCACGGACCACATGGTGAACATTGCTGCTTGTCAAAGTTGCAACAATTCAACTTTGCGGATCTCGATTTCCCAGTGTAGGACCCAGCCATGACGAGCTCCAGAGGTCTGAGTCTCAGTAGTTTACCCTAAAGCAATACCTCGTTCCAAGAAAGACCACAAACTGAGACTACGCAGGCACCACCCAGGAACAGACCATCCAAAGGAAATTTCTAATGTTCAAATATTAACCCCTTTTACCAAAGGGAATCTGGAGTTAACTGCTATGGCTGGAAAAATGAGCAATCTTTTGACCCCCATGCTGCATGCAGCCCTCTTTCCATGCTGGTGAGTGGGGCTCCCAGACCTGCCCTGGGGTTTGCCCACCTCAACTTCTTTCAAACCTGGCCGCGGTTTGGCTCTGTGGCTGCTAACCTACAGCTGTAGCCAGGGCTGTAGAGAAACTGCCTGGTACAGATTCACCAGGGATGTCTTGGTCATTCAGATTCCATGGGTTAAAAATATCATCTAGAGGGGTCAAATGCTTCATACCGGTACAGGTTTTTATATGTTGATGCAATTTTAAAGTTATTTGACCATATTAAGTTAATTCTGGTTAGACAGTTTTGTTTGCCTTGTTAAAAAGTTTTGTCTATTCCTCAAGAAAGCTGTATATTCTTGTTTTGTTGGAAAGTTTTGTCTGTGTTCCGGTGTGTTCATACGTTTTGATATAGGCATGGAGCTGAAACAGAAGCAGTTTGGATATTTTTACTGTCTCTGCTGCACGTCACTGCTGTGGTCACATTGAAGGGCGTGGCTCAGAGTTTACCTCTGAGCTCTGGTCCCTGGATTTGGTCGAGCAGGAATCCAGATGTCTTTTTGATAGAGACAAAGTTAAAACTGTCTTATGCTGTTCTTTATTGGAAAGCTGGCTCTAGAGTTGGATTACGACTCTGCCTTCGCTAGACCCAGGCATGCTGATTTTAAAAATCTTCTCTCTGTCACTCCGCCAGTCTGAGCACTTGACACAGTGACAAGGAGAAGAAAACAAAGAAGAACAGACAAAGAAAAATGTCTGAGCTTGGTTTATGTGACCACTTTGTATTCTAAAATTTATAAATCTATTTTGATAGATATGGTTAAAAAATCTGCTAAAATGAAAACTAATTAAAAAGTTAAACTTGGAAGTTGATAATTTAAAATCTATGCATGGGTAATTTTAAAAGAACCATACGATATGATTTCAATTTAGATTGACATCATTTTTTAGTCAGTCACATGGCTGGTTGCCATTTTCCTAGAGTTAAAAAAATATGGATGTCACAGGATTTCACCGTTGTCTTGGTTGGAGGTGACCATGGAAAATGGGTCTGACTAGGAGACAATAACAGATCTCCACGATAATTTGGATTGGGACAGATTTTTATATGATAATTCATGTCCCGTCCTAAAAACAAGGTTAAAAAATAAGATTTAAAATATTAAATCTTCACCTCAATGCTTTTACACTCAAAATAGTTCTTTGCAAGTTAAATATTGTAATTTAAAAGTCACCCAAGTGATAACGGTTTTAGAGACATAAAGGGATCGTTGGGAACAGCTGAGGTTTGCAACTGTATGGCAGGACTGGAGTCCCAAAGAATGTCCAGCTGCAAGGATGGACCTTAACAATTTTAGAAATGCTGGTGCCAGGTGACAGTCACCAAAAGCACCAGGTACGGTAAAATGGAGCAGGCTGAGACCTAAGAGACAGACTATGTATATGCTGTTGAGGGTGAGGCCAAAGAGGCACTTAATTTTTGATACTGCAGGAAGATTTGATATTGCAGGGATATGATTAAGGGATTTTAAGTTTTTAAAGAACAGTTTGAAAATATTTAAATTTAGAAGACTCTAAGGCATTCATGCTTACAAGTTGTTTTCTATTGTTAATATTTGGACTTAAAATAAAAGGCTAAAAATTAGGGTCGCAGCCATAAGCACCAAATGCTAACCAGAAACTGGAATGTTCATTTCTTGTAATATAGCAAAACAATGACCTAAGCACTCTGGCAAAGGGCTTGGAACAGTTTCTCAGCCCACTGAGTCTCGACCCTGTGTGGATTAAAAAACCTTTTTGCAGGGGTAGCCTAGGACCACTTTCAGGTCAGATGTTTGCATTAAGATTCATAACAGTGACAAAACTGCAGTTGTGAAATAGAACGGGAACAATTTTATAATCGGGGGTCACCACAACATGGGGAACTATATTAAAAGATCAAAGTATTAAAAAAGTTGAGACTTGTAGCACCCGCCTGTACTACATGACAGTATGGCGCTACTCCTGTCTTGCGGCGCCTGCACTACAGGACCATTCACGAGCCTTGGGCAAGGGCCTGGAGATTTAAACACACAAAGACCCAATAGACAGAGACACAGGTCATCCTTGATGCCAGAATGCCAAAGAATGCCCCCTTTATTGTATACCAGAGCTGCTTATATAGGGATCCTTAAACAATAGCCACGCCCCAGCCAAACCCACCAGAAACCACTCTCCTGCCATCAGGAACTCCCGAGGGTCTCGTGCTCAGAGCAGCTTGCAGGCTGTCTCAGAGCAGTGGAAAACAAGTTGCTTACAAGAAATTCAGGATCTGGGGGATGAACCAGTGGCTTAGGAAATGTCTCCTTACTCAAGGTCTATTCAGGCTTTAGAATGTATGTCTAGCCTCCTTATCTTTGCTGACTGTGCTAAGCTTAAGCTATTTGAAGAAACTGAGTCATATAACTCTACTGAAGCTATTATTTCAGTCTCCAGTTTGCGGTTGAGGTGCAGATTACATGTGTAAATAATTTTTTTTCTTGAGTCGTACTTCGTTTTTTCCGACAGATTATTTATAGAATGTGTTTCAGAGCAGTTCTTTCCTGGCCCACGGCCTGACATCTAACCTGACAAATGACCGGTTGTTCCTTTCTCAGGAAACCTGTCTCTCTGTATAGCTCAGCCTAGTCTCAGACTCAATCCTCCTGCCTCAGCTTCCCGAGAGATGGTATCACATGCGTGTGCCACCATGCCTACTCTCTTGAGTTGCACTTTATAATAAGATGGTGCCTGGCTTAGATCAGAGATGCCTGGCTCCAAGAGCCATCTTTTGAAAAACTTTCTAAGAAGGCAAATGAAAAGCAAAGTCAGAAACTCTTTTCTGGAACAGTTCAGCTCTCCAGTGTGGACATTAGAACTCCGGTGGGCTTGTGGAACTCAGATCACCGAGTCCACATAGAGTGATCCTCTCATTTGGCCTGGGATATGTTGCCAGTTCCCGGGTGCTGCTGATGCAAGGGAGTTCAGATATCGCTTTTCCCGGAGCCTGACCTCACTCAATACTCTTTCTTATTTCGGGATAAGTGCTCCACAGGGACAAGTGCACCTCATCTACTGGAAATTCCCTAAGTAAATCCATACATAGCTGGAATATTCTGCCCCAGAGGAACAACATCATATCTTTTGAAGGCAGTTCTGGGCATCTCTGTTCTCACCAGGCTGCTGTTGACTTTAGCCTGCAGCCCAATTAAAAAATTAGCAGTTTGTAGAATATACCCAGGAACACAAAAGTGCTTTGGATGACTGGTGCCTTGTTCAGACTTTCTATAGATGGTAAACTCTATAGTTTCTTTGTTTGGTTTTGGGGGCTTTTTGTAGAGAATTCCACCCCTTCCCAGGCACGCGGACTGGTCACAGATGTTTGTGGAATGTCTTTAAGGATATTTCTTTACTGCAGCGTAAGGCCTACCAAGTCCCAAAGAGGTTACAAGTACTGATGAGTGGTCTGGAGGCAGAAGCAGCCAGTAGAGGGAGAACAGAAGGCAGAATCTGTTAGACTTCTGCTAGTGTGAGGGACATAATCCTGACCTTACCTCTTCTGCTTTCTCTGCAGACTTCAGAGTGGATAGATCAAAGAAGATACCAGAAAAGCAGGGAGTTTATTCAAATGACTCCCAAATCAATCATAGGTGCTACTATGAGCACCAGCTATGAGTGTGCTGGATTTGCATCAGTGCAATGAGGAACAACAGGGCTCCACATTACAAGAGCAGAAGGGGGGGGGAACATGCTAATAAAGCCAAAGGTAACCGGAGTCAGCTCAGACAACCTTAGCCAGGCCTAAAAATGGTGAGCACGCATATGTATCTCTTGTCTCTTTATACACAGAAAGGGGAAGGGGTGCCAGAAAGAAGTTGTAAGAACAAATAGCATTTGGAAATAAAATGCCTAATTCTCCCATTCCCTGCCTTTTAAAGTCATCTACAGAGTCTTCTATGAAGCCTGTGTATTCCTTTAGCTAGGGCTCTACCTCCCCAGCGCTGGGATTATAGCTGTGAACCTCCACGGCTGGCCAGAACTCCCTCTCTGTTTCTGTATACAAATCTTGTCCAAAGCGATGAGCCGCTGGCCACATTCACGAGCCAGGAAGGTCCTTTCTAAGGACCTAAGAGCCCTCTTCCTGTGGCCTGGTCCTGGGGGGGGGTGGGTAGAAGTTGAACTTCCCCCCAAACTGCCAGCTGTGGTCGTCACTTGTGTAAAGCAAAGAGGCACAGCCGGTCACCCTGGTTCGGGACCAACTGTGTGACAAAACGCAATGTGTACTTACCGCTTACAGGGTGGATCCGCTTGGCCCTCAAAGGCTGTTTCTGTCTTTGTGATCTCTTTAGCAGACTGCCTGGCCCCACAGACTTAAAGCCAATGTAATGAGAAAACCGTCCTCTCGGTTACATTGCGTGTGCAAGTCTCCTGAGTTGGCAGAGGGTTTGTTATCACTGTTTCCTTGGCAAGGTCACACGGAACTGAGTCACGAGGGAAGTGCCCCGTCGCAGAGGAGGTACTTCCTCAATGGCACCCCTGGCTTCTAGGACTCAGTACATGTCCTCCTACTGCGTATCTGAGCTCTGTGACGGCAGACGCTATGAGAGCATCATTTTCTAAATGCTCTCAATAACTAGCAAAGAACCAGGAATAGGGTGGGTAGTCAGAGCAGGCTGAACTGCTTGAGTTGGGGCAATTAAATAATAATCCTGTTACAGTTTCAGAGTCTGAGTTTTCAGAGTCTGAAATGTATTCCTATTGGGATTGGAGGTGGGGTAGCATGCTTACCTGGCACCCTCAAGGCCCTAGGTTCCATCCCCAATGCCACCAAATAAACACGCGCCATTTAACTGCTCTATGAAATTGAATTGCTGTCTTGAAGGGCTAAGAGGATGGACACTGAATGGGACTCTGGCGCTTAGAGTCTGGGCTTTCGGAAAATAACTAGAATTCACTAAGATTGTTAGGGTGGGCCTCCCATGATTTACGAGAACAGGAAATACAGACGGGGTACACAGGTATGCTGTGTGTCTCCAGTTATCTCAAGTGCCAGTAAGGAAGCTACCACCAGGCTTGGTTTCTCTCTACCTTGTGCCTCCAGGACTGTGAGCCTGGACTCAGGAAGACTCGGGGTGGAAAGCAGGAGGAATTCAGGAAGGTTCAGCATGAATCCGAGTTCGCCTGTGGCTTCTCACCTGTATAGTGAGACTGGGATGTTGGCTAAATGATACGAAAGGTCTTCATAACGATGATGGCTACCCCTTATGTTGTCCTTGCCATGGACTGAGAAGTGTTATTAGCACTTTCCATGTGGAAAGTTATCAGTCTAGGTCAGCGGTTCTCAACCTTCCTGATGCTGCGACCCTTTAATAGAGTGCCTCGTGTTGAGGTGACCCCCAACCATACAATTATTTCATTGCTGCTTCGTAACTGTAGTGTTGCAACTGTTGTGAATTACAATGTAAATCTCTGAGATGCAGGACATCTGATACGCCACCCCCAAAGAGGTCACGACCCACAGGTTGAGAACTGCTGGTCTAGGTCCTCCTCACAAGCGCTCTGTTTCACACAGCTATTGAGACAGAGGGAAGGGAATTGCTCAAAGCCAGAGAGCTTGCTTGTGTGTAGCAGAGCTGGGGGTGCAGTGGAGAGAGTCCGGCCCCAGGTTCTCTTCATTAAAGAGTCCAATCTCTGACCCAGGCACATTATCCCCTGGGGTGGCTTGAATTAGAATGCCCCCCCATAAACTCATGTATTTAGACACGTGGTCCCTAGTAGTGGTGCCGTTTGGGAAGGTTATGGGACTTTTAGGTACTGCAGCCTTGCTGGAAGAAGCGTGTCTCTGGTGGTTGACTCCGAGAGTGCACAGCCTGACTATGCATCCAATTCCTTCTTTGCCTCCTGCACATGGGCGGAAAAGTGATGTCTCAGCTTCCCACTCAGGCCACCTGCTGCTGCTCTGTCCCTACCATGACAGACTCTAGCCCTCTGGAAAGGTGAGCACAAATAATCTGTTTCTTCAGTAAATTGCTTTCTGCCATGGCACTTTAGCACAGCAACAAAAAGTAGCCAATACATCCCTGCCCCGTTTCTAAGGAAACCCGCTCTCCCAGCCTCGTCCCGTCCAACAGCTGCTCGGACTGTGCTTGGAGCACTTCCCCGACCAGCTTCCGCTGGGTCCTCTCCTGTTCTTCACAGTTGCTTTCTTTCTACCTCAGTTCTAATTCCTATTAACAGCCGTATGGTGACTGTCAAAGCCCCCAGGAGACCCAGTGCTATGGGCACTCCAGATGGAGCCTTGCTCTGAGAGGATGTTTGCCTGGAGGTCTGGACAAAAAGAAAAGACCTCGGTGGGACATGAACCCAGCTGTGAGGGGACCACGGGCAAGAGGGATAGGTCTGAGAAGTCAAGGACCCTACAGGGAACACTGACACCTGGGGAGACTAGGACTTCTCTGGACCACTGGAGTGTCTGCCGGGGTCTCTATTGATGGGTGGATGCTTCTGTGCCTTTGGGCATGGCCAGGGAAACGGAGTGAACCCTCGTCATCTGACACTCATTCCTTGGGGGCCCGGAAGCATTTATTGAGTATTTTCTGTATGTCTATGGCTGACGAATGAAGTCCAGCTGATGTTACACACAGAGATGCCCTGGACATTTACCTGCCCACCACATGGCTGGAGCCTCTCACTTCCAGCAACTTCACATGCACAGACTCAGTGGACTCTAGAAATCATCTTTATTTCCTGGTAGGCCTTAAAGGGATGTGAGCACTGGTGGGTCCTCATGGCCGAGCAGGGCATCCCTGGCCCTGGCAGCTCTCCTGATGGCTCCAAATGATGCTGCTCCTCTTTGGCCAACCTAAGAACAGTGGGATCAGGTTGCTGACACCCAGAATCTCAAACACTCTTACTCAGACACCCTCTTGTCTGCACCTGCAAGCTCCAGGTGGCTCCCTCAGAATGTCCCAGTACTGTAGATGTCAATGACCCTTGGATCCCCCTTCTCAGGGGACCTCTGAGGGCCCCACTTACTTCTCTCTAGCCTCTGCTTCTGTTCACTGGGTGCCCATGTCTCCTCTGTCATTCTGAATTTCCGGGATGCTCTGGGACTGCCCCTCAAATTCCTCCAGCCTATGAGAAAAGCAGAGAAAAGAAAATGAGCAATTGCCCAGGGCATCGGGGAGGAAGAGTCAAGATAGAGGCCTGAAGATCAGAAACCCGGGCTCATGGGCGTGGTCCCCCTCTCACCCACAGTTCCCAGGGGGGTTCTGGGCCTCCCTAGCCATCTGCAGCCTCTTCTCCACTTCCTGCAGTCTGGCACACAGCAGAGTCCCTGCAGGCAGTGGTGGGATGTCAAGGGCGGTTCCCTGAGGCCCTGTGCCCCACCGCCCATCACTGCCCCAGCCTCACTCTCCGTCAGCAGCTGATCCTGGTTGTGTTCCATTGTGCTGATCTCCTGGGTCAGCCGCTGCTGCAGGACCTGCGAGGACAGAGGCCCGTCTCTCTGCTCTTCTGTCCTGATTACACCTCCAGTCCATCCCTCTCTGTGCTTTTGATGAAGTTCTTCCCTACACTAGGTCATGCACTCATTCTTTAACTCTGCAGTTTCCGCTGTGGCTACAGACTCACTTCAACCCAATGTGCCCATATTTCTCAGTCTACTTCTTATAACTCCTCTGACCCCCACTCCCCATTTGCTGTTCTTTGAATGTTCCAAGAGTTCGGCCTTTCTCAAGAACTAACACTTCTACACTCAAGTGCTCAACACATGTGGTCAGATACCAACAGGTCAGAGACGGTGCCCCAGGTGTACAGGATTTATCTACTTTGCCTGCTTGGCTGGACTCTGGGTCCCCTGCCCCTTGAGGCAGAAAGGGCCTTTTGGTATACCACTGCCCTTCCCTGCCTGGAATGCTGCCTGATGTTCCCATCTGCAGCTGAACGAACATTTCCACAAGGGTCCCATGGGCCACTTTCAGGAGACGCAGAATCCACAGAAGCTATGACAACAGCCAGCAAAGGATGTTAGATATGGAAGAGGGGGCGGGGGAAAAGCAGCCAGTTGTGGGGCCAAAGGTGACATGAAGAGAGGAGTCAGGGTCTCTCCCAGGATGTTGGACCTAAGCAGGGGTGGGGACATGCTAAAGTCCTGGGAGGAGTGGAGGTTGGAAAGGACATCATGGCTTACATGGAACTCCCAGAGGTCCTTGCGCTGACTTGTCAGCTCCTCCACTTGCTCCTCCAGTTGGTCGTTAGCATTCAACCTGTGGACAGACACCCAGAAACGTGGCCAGGGCCCAGTCAGCTAGTCAGGTCTGTGGTCCTTCCTGCCCAGTGATCCCCTTCATGGTTCTGTAAAATAAACCTCCTCTTCACCTCCTTTTCTTCATGGGAGCTCCACTCCCACCCGACTTAGCTGTCCATCAGACCCCAGGTTTAGGAATAACCCCAGCTTCCTCAGTCTGAATCCTGACAATGGGACTGTGTACTTCCTGGGAGGGACAGACCATTTGTCCTCAGATTCTGGCTGAGCCCCCACTCTTTCCATGAGTACTTCTTTTTCTTTTGTTACGAGTGATCCATATTTTGCATCCCTCTGGGAGACCACAACCCTGTCCATCTTATTCCCAAGAAATCTGTATGAGGGAGCAGTTGGTCAAACTGTTGATATGATTCTATCACCACCACTTCAAGGCCAGGGAAGGATCCTGTCTTGATGCTCTGTTTTATAAAGGGGAAAGAGGAATGTGTATTGTATGTCCATGCTTCCTTCTACTTGCTTCTGCTCTCTCCTCCTCAAGCTGGGGCAGAGCTGGGGAAGACTCTTACCACTGAGTCTCACTTTCCCTCTCTTGGCAATGCTTCTGGAGAATCATCAGAGCCTCTGTGGAGAAAGCAGACAAGAGAGACAGATGGGGGACCTTGACCTTGGGGGAACAAGGTTGGGCGGAGTCTGGAGGCCCCACGTGACCTTGGATATTGGTGGGCACTCACAGGGCTTGGGTATATCCTCCACAAAAGCAGCCAGGGAAAGAGCTGAGAGAAACCCCGGGACTCAGCTTTCAGCGGGACTCCTGTGGCTGCTCAGGGGGCAGGCTTCGTGAAGCAATGGGAAAAATGAAGAATGGAATACCTTGCTTTTTGCCCAGGACTTCCTCTAGGTGTGCTTTCTCGTCGTTCACTGGAAAACACGGTGACATTTTCAGCCTCTGGAGCCTACATCCCATACCCCCACTGCAATTTCATCCAGTCGGCAAAATCACACAGAAGATCGGGAGATGGGGGTATCTTTCTCCTACCCTTGCAACCTTCTCCCACTGGGTTCATCCCCCCATCCCCCGCCACCCATGTCCTCTGTAAGTGCCAACAGAGGCAAAGGAGCAACTACCCCAAAGGAAGTACAAGTTCCTTCGGGAAGGAAGAGTGAACTGTTAAAGAAACAAATATCATACCAGGTAAAAATAGATAGGCTCCGAAGGAAGAAATTAAGCAAAAGCAGAAGGAAGGAGAAGTGGGGATGGAGAGGGGGTAGGATTCTGTGTTTAGATGAAACCATCAAAAATGGGCCGATCAGGGCTATGTGAGCTGGGAACTGAAAGATAACAGGATGCAGTGGGCAATCTGAGTTGTATGGGTTCAGAGAGCCGCAGGTGAGGGCACAGCCTGTGCCAAGGCCGTGAGGCATGTTTGGAAATGCCAACAGTGGTCAAGGAATCCCTGGCTCCCTCTTTTGGCCCCACTCACAGGAATCCAGTTCCTGATTCATGGCCTCCTGGAGTGCTTGAGCCTCTCCCAGTTCCACGCTGGATCTCTTCTTTGCTGGATCAAAGAAAGGAAGAAGGGATTGCGTGACTACAGCCCTGGAGTTTTCCTACAGCTTGGGGAATGGCTTATTCTCTTCTCTGACAGCCCTGGGTGGAAGGTACACCCAGTCCAGGCTCCTTCCTGCTGGTATCCACTGGCCAGGCTAGGTTCTCACATTTACCTTGCTGCAGCTCATTAATTCGATGAATCAGGTCCTCGATCTGGGGTTCCAGGCTTCCCTCTGAAGAAAGAAGGCAGATTGAGGCAGGAAAGGCAGATGCTCGGCTGTCCCAGGTGGGAGGAGGACTCCTGTCTGATGCTAGGTTTCTACTGGCAGCCAACCACAGGCTCCTCGGGAGCAGCTGCTCTATGCTGGGATCTGTGAGGAGTCTTTGCAGGGCTTGCATTCTTGGTGGGGGCTGGGTGGATGGCTATGACTCAGCCTGGGGGCAGTACCAGTTACCAAGATGACACCAGGTGAGGTGTTAAGGACCAGATGTGTATTACTGCTTCTTGAGATATGGGAACAGGTCCTGTACGCCACGGGGAGGCATGTGTGGCATGGGAGCTGCTCCAGAGAGAGGAACAAGTATGAGCCTCTTGCAGCAGGAGTGGGTGGGGCCATATCCAAAGGCCACAGAGGATAGGTAAGTGCGGAGGGGCAGAGGAAGCAAGGAGGGAGGGCCTGCAGGACCTCAGTGGAGGCTCAAGGCTGCAACTGAGTATTGCAGAAGCTGGTGGAGCCCTCCCACAGGCCCCATGCTCTTCAAGGTGGGGTGGGGGCAAAACAGGCTGCCTGTCATTCCTGTTTTCCTGGTCCATAGCTGTCATGAAGACAGCAGGGCTTTCCAGTGACAGATAGCACCTCGCAAGTTCTCAATGTCTTTTGAGAGAGTCACTTCTGACCTCACAGTCCATTTTACCTCTCCACAGGGAGAAGCCTTTCTTCTGGCTTATCATGTTCTAGGTCAGGTGAGTCCCAGGCATCGGGATATGAAGCTGCTTTGCATGTGCTCGGTTTCGCTGCCAACCGTAAGGCAATCTGGGCTCACAAGCTTAGCCCCGGACTTCTCAAGATGACAGACTCCCTTTCTAGGCACTTCTAGAAGAGTAACAGTCCTCCAGGGTGCCAATTACAACTAGCAAACATCTCTGTAGCCCACGGGCTTTATTTCACTAGAGAAGGTCAGGACGGGTCACTACACGTCTCTAGTTCTATAGTTCAATTTCTATACAAAATTTTAGTCCGGGCAACAGCTAAAATGAACCGGGTGAGCTACAGCGGGAGATGAAAAAGGAAAGGTTCCCTTTTGTTTAAGTAAATCAGTGGATACATGAAGCTGAGAATGAGCTGGCGAGGTATTTGCTCCAGCAATACTGGGTACTTAAGGCAAGCTGGCTCCCAGGTTCCTTCTCAACAAAAATGCCAAGTAGAAGATGCTCTGTATTGTCCTTTGCTATTTGCAGCTTTTGAAAGGACAAGGAATATATACTTTTGAAAGGTGTTTATTTTCAAAGACTTTGGGAGACAGTTGATCATTTTAAAAACTGCTGCTATGGAGAGGTAGCCCAGTAGTACAGTAGTTTTGGATTCAAGCTGCAGCACTAATACATAAATACTGTTGCTTGTCTGTGGGTCAGGAAAATGAATAGACACCTAGTTGGATGGATGGATGGATGGATGGATGGATGGATGGATGGATGGATGGATGGA